AAGAAACCAATTAAAACGAAGAAATTGTTTGCCAGCTTCTCCTATTACAAGTTAAAGGCCGGGGAACACTTTATTCACTGTGTCATCGGCCTAGGAAGCAAGGGCTACGGAGTTGGCGACGTCGAAGAAGTCCTCAACCAGGCGCTCATGATCCCCAGGGTGTTCGGTGGCTGGAAAACCATGGGGAAGAAGTCGAAGCTCGTGGCCAGAGCGAGCTTGCGCAACAGCCAATGCCATGGCAGCACCATGATGAACATCGTGAAGAGCAACCTCCCTAACATGGTTTGGGATATCGTATAAGCGAACCACCGGCACGGCACTCCTGGCGTTGACGAATCCTACCGCGTGCTCCGCAGCTGATTGGAGGCTTTCCAGCTGGGCCGATAGATCTAAAAAGATTTGAGGAAGGGATGATCAAGATCTTGAATACAAAAAACTAAGAAGAGATAGAAAATTGTGGTAGGCATCTCACCCATGATTCTGGTCTCGGCCTTGGCCAACCTCTCCTCCACCTGGTCGGCCTTGGAAGGTGATCGGTGCTAAGCCAAGGTGGCCAGAGCCGATTCCACGACGGAGAGGCAGTCGGCGAGCTTCTAGCCAGCCCGATTGGTGGAGGCAATCAGATCATCGTTGTCGATCCACCTCCTTGGGTAGCAGGGGAGCTGGCGGTGAATTGTTGATGAGGACGACACTAGAAGTTGAGTGGAGTCGGCCCTATGCTCTAGGACAATGGGAGCATCCCGGGTTGCACCCTCCTGATGACGAAGATGTTGACATGGTGACACAGACCCGTTAAAGGCCTCCTCAGCAGACCTCTTGTTGTTCTCCATGACTTCAAACCTATGGGAAAGCAGAATCACACCAAAGACACAGAAGGTTTAGGACGAAGCAGGTTGTTTTTCGATCCACAACCGTGGCCCGTATATATAGCACAGGAGGTGAGAAGATAGGTTTCATCGGGGTTATGGAATTAAAGTCAGATATAGCAATGGATCGACACTCTAGAAATTCAGAGGACGGATCACGAAGAGATAATAGAATTTGAACTTATTACTTCCCATAATAATAAAATATCGTGAGATTGATACGAAAGGTTTACATTAATTGACGATCAACCCACTAAGGCTTCTTTGGATTGAAGGGAGTCTGGATCCCCATAAGGCCGAAGGTCATCATGGACCGAGTCATATCGGCCCGTTGATAAAATTGCATCAGGTGAAGAGGAAAGGCCGCCTGCTTAAAAGATGCCCATATACCCAACCGATTTCTCGGTGGCTAGAAAACAATGGAAAAGAAAGCCGTCTACTAAAAGACACCCATTTCTCGGTGGCTGGGAAACCGTGGCAAAGAAGTATGTGGTTTTCCTGATGGGCATTTGATGAAGCAAACAAGGGGAAGGTGTCCACACATTTTAGTCCTTGCAAACACTAGAATAGCTCTGCGATCATGGTGAGAAAACTCAGCTGATGTCACAAGAATTATTCTAACCGCAGTAGCTGATCTTCTTGCTCGACAAGGCGCTGAAATGAGCGACACAATCACCCTATGCACAAGAATTCTTCTTACCACTCAAGATCCTCATAGCAAGGAATTAGACCATAGAGGATTTGGCAGAGCCAGGGGCACTCGAGGAAGCAAGCAGAAGAGAAACATAACTGAGTTGTTGAGTTACTCTCGCCAGAGTCGGATAGACATTTATGGTTGGCCTGAAAAGATGGATCCAAGCGCCCGTGAAGCAATGATGCTCTCATAAATCTTTGAAGCATGGGCTCATAAGCTGGCAAAGACGGTGACAGACAGTAGACCATAGATCAAGATTCTCTACTCGTGACTACGGACCTATCGGAGGTACATGCATGGTAATTTTGGAATAAAATTACTTTTATCCCAAAATTGGGGGGCATGTGTTTACACTAAAATTTGGGAAGAAGAATGCGGGAACTCGAAGCTCCAAATATCGTGTCATCAAGGAATCTATTGCATAAAGATCGATATTAGCTGATTCAAATGCAGCACTGGAATCGGCTCTCTTCAGATGACGCTAGCAGATAACGACAAAAAGCTACGGTTGGTGTCAGGAAAAACATGTCGGACTCTAAAAAAAAGGAAAGATTAGGGTCCAAGTTATCTTAAATTAGGAATGTTTTCTCTTATGCCAAAGATTGTAATGAGTCGTGCTTAAGTAGGATTCATGGTTAGGTTCTGGGTATAAATATTGGACCCTGGCTATTGTAAAAGACATCCAATCAATCAAATACAAGTTACTTTTTTTCAGCTCCGTGCCAATCCTTAGGAGTAGGAGTAGAGTAGATCTCGACGAGTTCTTCAACAAGCAAGGCTACATCGGTCCAGCCGACCTCCGGTTTGTCTGTAAGTACCGTCATGGCTTATACTTTCGTTTGTACGGCTGCATCGGTTAAGTTCGACCTCTACTGCGAACTCTAGTATAAACTAGTTATTGACTCTTATCTAGTTCAAGTACGGCTACATCAATCCGGTCGACCTCCATTGCTCGAATTAGATTAAGGTCAAGTTATCGGCTCTATCTAAGGCTGGCGTTCTTCGGGTAGATTCATTAAGTTATTGATCTTGCTGGTGTTCTTATTGCTATTAGATTGCAGCAACATCAACCTGCCCGGTCGAGATCGATCTAGATCGGTCCCATATCTTTTTAGTCTGTCATTTGCCTTGCTACAACACGATATTACTTACTTTGAGCGACGATTTATGTTTCATCGGCTGTTCTATTTCAATCTTGATCGTGCATAGTATGCGGTTAAGGCATGTATGATCTTGAAGAGGTTTGTTAGGTAGTTAAATCTGGTCTACGGTTCGCTATTATGGCTGTAACGATCCGGTCGATCTCCACTGATAGCACTTTAGATTGGAGGATGCTAGTTGGTAGATTTATTCTCGATCAGACATAACATTAACTGTTTGCTATGCCTGCATCGGCTAAATAGCCGATTGCCTATGCTTTAACGCCTCAAGTGTGTTCTCATGATTCTGTTAAATGTGAATAGATCCGTGTACTTTAAAGGTTTGATTTGTTGTCTTTATCATGGTTGCCATCGATCCGGTCGAACTCCACTGTTAGAGATAGCAGGTTAAGTCTGATGAGTTCATAGATTTGTCCACGTAAAATAGTCGATTGTTCACACGCTGTAGTCCATTTTCACCTGAATCGGCTATTTCAGCCGATTCGCCTGAGCATTCACACATATAGTGTCTTTCGGAAAGCCTATCGATGTATAGATGGTTTTACGGATTCTTCGATTTTAGTTTGTTATTATCATCATAGCTGTCATCGATCCGGTCGAACCTCACTGTTGATGGTAATATATTAGATTCATAGCGTTTGTAGATCCATTCGTACTAGACAATCGATTTGTTCGTATGTTATATCCTTTCTCGTTAGATTCATCAGCTCAATGATTCACACTGGTAATATCCACCTAGCTGATGATTTCACTTATATCTGCGGGCATTATACTTATCAACATAAAATCAATCGCGATCCATAAGCTTTACTGTCCGTAACAGCCGATTTCTTCACGTGTCGGCTATTTAGTCGATTTTTCCGTCTGGCTGCTCCCGAAACGGCACACTTGGAACTGTCTAGGCAAAGACCGCCATGTTCCACCTTAAATTACTGATAAACTTTATCTCCTTGTCAATTGCAGGTCAAATTGACTGGCACGCCTCGGGAGGAATTCGTAAGATCGGTTAACCCTGCGTTGAAGCTAAGCGGATCTCCGGACTCATCCTAAGTAGATCCTTCCGGCTTACTATGTGCCTCGGCGCATCGACACGTTTTTGCGTAGACAGGTACTCTCTCTGTTCCACATTATAAGTATCTAGAAACGTCACAATAACTTCATAATTTTAAAAGAAATGAAGGTAGTAGCTTTCTGTAAGCAAGAAGTGCTGGTTTTTTTGGACAACCCAGGTCTATTCACGAAGAAAAGGGCTGCTTAAGGCGTCCCTAACAGTGTCATTTTAACTAGCTCATAGAAATCCATATCAACATTTTTCTGTTGTGGAAGAGAGAAGATGGAAAAGAGAAAAGACTATCTCTTATCTCAACACCTATCCCACTCAGAAAACGAGGTAGTTTGTTGATTGGCTCATAAAGAATGAGAGGAAGGAGACAAGATGTGGAATAAAAAAATATTTACACAGAGTTTATATAATGAAGTAGCGTTGGCCTCGTTCGGCTTACCTTAAAAGCCAGCTTATTCGGCTTCTTTTTTCAGTCGAAACAGTATTTTTCTCTCACAACATTTCAGCTTTGGCTTTTTCTCTCACAACATTTCAGCTTTAACTTGTTTTTTCAGTCAATTTCAGCCAAACGAACAGGGCCAACATGGCATGTATAATGCTATCTTTAATAAAATAGCAATGACATGGCATGTATAAGACTCTCTTATTGCTGAGGACGCCCTTATAGCTCTACCGTTGCAATTTGCGACATGTTGGCGCTAGGCGCAGGCGTAAGCGTAAGTTCCAACTTCCAAGCCAGAAATTATTATTTTCTTCTACTCAATGGGCATGAGCGCTATTCGCTCTACCATACATTTAAGAAGAGAATTACAAGTTCACAGTGACCTCTCGAGGCGAACACCACCAAACATCGAAACGCTGCAACCAAAAGCTCATCTCTGATCACTGCACTTCCTAGTAAGAACATCCAATTACATATTATACAGAGTACATCATCAATAAAAACATCTCACTAAGCTGAAGCCAGTTTTGTACTGGTGCGATTTTGGTGAATTGTTTGCAGCAATAGCATTTTCTGATTTTTATTTTCACTTATGGGACAAACCAAGAGAAAGACGTCAGAATGACCTGGGAGTGGCTCTGGCAATTTCGCTATGAGCTCCTCCAACCTCAAATTTTTCTGCGTAAGACGGATTTATTCAAGTTTCCTGTTAGCAGTCCCTTGAAGGATTAACAATTCTCTTGGTGCCTTGCTCTGAGGTGTTAATGAAGTAGAGTCAATGGAAGTCTGGCTGCCCAGTGGATGTGAGGCAGCGGTGCCACATTCTGCTGTTGGGGTTCACGTGCTTTGGCGTTGTAATGACCTCTGTGATGGGAAGGTAGACATAATGTGTGTTGCAAACACCTGACGTGATGCCACTGAACCCAGCAAATGCTCCATGGACCTAAAGGACATCCATAGAATTTTCTTCTGTAAAAATCCTACTCTTGCATTGAAATGAATATTAGCACACAATGAAAAGAAATCAACTTACAGCATTTTGCCCAAGCACGGTGCAGAGAATAGCATCAGATGCATTTGCCCGACAGGCCCGAACCATATATGTTGGATCAATGTATTTTAGATCAGCAGGAACACCGATGTCCTTGAAATGCTTCTTGATCTGTAAGGTGATACAAATGCCACTGAATTATATGTGAAGTGGAAAAAGAATGTCCACAAAAATGCAACAAGAGCAAGGTTAGAGGACCATAAAGGGTCAACTCACATTGGTGTGCCAGTTCAAAGAAGGCACACTCTATAGAAATTCAAGCAATTCTTTTACAGGTTCCTTTTTAGGTATGTGTAGGAAACCAGAGTTACATAAACTATGTAATGGTCAGGAATAGATAAATAATAATATATAATCTTGAATATGGTTCCACTTTGTAAACCTAGTATCAGATCTATACTTGGCATTCTTTGCGAGGTTATGAAAAATGAAACTTGACAACAGCAATTCAGCATAAACCACACATATAATAGCCTCAAACAAAGCTCTTGATTCTAGCAGGTATACCAGGCAGGAAGTAAAACCTCGATTAGGTTTCACAAAAAACCAGAGCCCCACCCGGCCACCCCCAACCAAGAGCCATATACAAAATCTATTTCACAAGGGGATTAGCAAGAGATACCTTCTGCTGCATGTGGACACCGAAGTCACTAAGTATCGCATTTCCTGAAGCATCAGTTCCATTTGATTTTTGCAGTAAATCCTGTCCCAAGAGTACAAAAATACATTTCCAATTTTCATTATTCACCCATGAAACTAGAGCATTAGAAGCAGTCAAGAAGGATAAACTGTTTAACCACTGAGCTGTCTTACCTGCCCTGCACCTTCAGCAACGCAAACCACACAAAATCCCTTTGTATTAAGTAAATGCTCAAGGTGTCGCAAGACACCATGTTCTCCATCAAGTGTGAAGGATACCTTCATTCATACAGTAAGCTTTTGTCAGTACATGTGAAGCAAAGACGATTTAAGTTCATCATCTTAGCGTTTAGTGTTTACAGACCTCAGGTATTAGGCAGACATCAATCTGTCCACTGGAAAGAGAAGCATGCATGGCTATGAATCCACTACTTCTTCCCATTAACTTTACCAACCCAATTCCATGGTATGCACTACGCGCCTATAAACACATAAGGAAGAAATCAAGTAAAGCAAGCACAGACTGTATGTAGAATTCAACTTCATTTCACTATCATTTTGACATGCACTAACATTGAGAATCGAAGCCTACCTCTATATAGGCAGAATTGATAGCACGCTGAGCTTCTTCCACAGCTGTATCAAAACCAAATGTCTTATCCATAAAAAGTATATCATTATCAATTGTCTTTGGAACTGCTACAACTGAAACTTTCAGTTTTCTCTTTCGACACTGCAAACCAGAAAAAAAAATATATAGACATAAACAACAGAAGAAGAATAACACTCCATGGAACACACAATATCTGTTTCGAGTGTAGATTCATTTACAACCTTCCTGAATCCTAACTAATGTAGCACACAGAACGGAAGATAGTTTTAGTACCAGGAAGTTGTGAAAATACACCCACTTCTCACAGCAGGTTTACTCAATACCAATAATTTCAGCTATAGAATTGGGTTCAAAACTAATTTCTTAAATTTAAAATTCAATAAACTTGCTAACTTTTAACTCGAAAAGGCAAAAAGTCCCAAAGGGGTGGACAGTTGCCCGCATAGTCAGATATTTGCATATATAGTTAATAATATAGGTAGCAATTAGGTATACTCCCTCCGTTCCAAATTATAAGACGTTTTGGCTGTTCTACGTACATTGCTTTTGCTATGTATCTAGACATAGTGTATATCTAAGTGCATAGCAAAAGCTATGTATCTAGAAAAGCCAAAACGTCTTATAATTTGGAATGGAGGGAGTATATATGAATCTGATTACTGGGCTATAGTGAAATGAACTAAATTTACCACATCCAAACATGCCCCAAAGTCCTAGAAGTATGAAATAGAAGAGAGAGTTGTACCTCCTCATGAATAGCATTAGCTCCTGCATGGCTACCATTTCCACCAATTACAAACAGCATGTCAATTCTTCTGGCCTACAAACATAAGACGATCGTGTAAACAATATTGAAGCTGCAACACGGAATATGGTGTCTTCCATTTCAGGTTGCTTACCTGTATACTATCTACAATCTCACTAGTTTTAGCTCCTCCACGAGAGACTCCTAGGAAACTTCCTCCAGAAAGATTTATGTTTTCCACCACGTCACGCGAAAGCTGAAGATTCTCACCACAATGATTCAACAACACCATGAACTATTTAGCACCTGGGATAGAAATGCATCCTTACCGGCATTTCTTTTAAGCCTTTCTCAAAAAATCCACGATAACCAAATGGGATTCCAACAATATTCTTCACCCCATAAGTCTCCAAGGTAAATACTATCTGGAAATATAAGTAAATATAGTCACATACCACCTACGGCTGTGGTTATTCTATTCAGTGTTTACTTGAAAGTGAGGGATTCACAATTCAAAAAACATCTACAAGTTCAATGTATAAGCATTAAAACATGGAGTAGCATACTAAATTACACTAAGTTCATTTGCATTTGGCCTCCCACTTTTCTCGCTAGCTCTGATCAAATGGATTATCATAGCCCATAAAACGTATCTTGCTCCTAACATGGTCAATACTTGTGTAACCTTTACAAGTGTATGTGATCCATAAATGTCTGGTGCAATATTTCATCAAGAACTGAGCATATTGAGAATGCAAATGGTGCAAAATCACTTGAGCAATACTATAAAACAATCATACCTGTCTAATGACATCATTTAAACCAGGGCAGAGCCCTCCACAGGTAACAATGGCAGCCTTTACTTCTTCAGGTTCATAATATATCTCCTTACGAGGACCTGCACGATGAACCCTATAGAAAGCAACTATCACTTTCTCATTCTTAAAATTAAATAAATTTCTTAAGTGATAGAAGAAGAGTTTCTAATAATTCAGTAACAGGAGAACTTGGCAGTAAGGGTGAAAAAGATTCTAAAACAAAGAAATAAGAAAATAACACTGTATGATTAGCCAGACTAGCGAAAGGGCCTCTAGCTGAGTTGGTTAGGTGGTTCGACTCCCCGTGGGAGCGAATTTCAGGCTAGGGTTAAAAAAATCCCCTTGTCTGTCCCACGCCAAAGCATAGGTCTAAGGCCCAGCCCCGGTCGTGGTCATTCTCACATGGGCTACAGTGCCACAGTTATGGGTGGGGCTGGGGTTCGGGGGTTTTCTCGACCTGCGTGAGAATGTCTTCTTCTTAATGCAATACCCAGGGGCTGTCTTACCCCCCGCAGGTCGAGTTTTTTTTTTATTAGCCAGACCAAATAATAAGAATATAGACACTATCAATCGTTCTCTATTAGGTATTACTCATGGTGAATATTGGCAGAAGTTAACAACACTTGGAGTATTTCGGGGAAACATTCATACTTTTAGCATAAAAAGGTGAATCACCTCCTCCAGAAGAAAGAAAAATAACTAATGTGCTGCATGAGATCATACCAGTGTTCCACCCAGCTACAATCAGGATCAATGCACTCAGCTCCAGCAGAAGTAGGAGAGGCATACTTGATCACCTAAATAAACACACTATGGTAAGTGATAAATTCACCAGTAAGAAAAAACAAAGCCTCTTCTCGAGACCATGCCTCGTTATATGTATTCATCTGCAAGTGCTCAACAAGTTATACTTGTCATATGTGCTCAATATTGACCTTCAGAAGGGCTCTATCACTCTTATTTACATAACCGTTCCACATATCAGCTGATGAGCCATCTCCATCATCATCACCCAGGGCAATTCTGTCATAAAAAAATAATGGATGTTGAAATCAAAGGAGCCAGCTACAGTTCATCGGTTTAGATATCAAATCCAGTTAAGTCAAAGAAAGATATAGCAGACAGGAATGAACCTGTTTTTCTTCAAAGAGAATGTAGTTCTTCTTGGCTCCAAATCATATATATCAGTGATGTGTGGCAAACTAAAATGCCTGTTCCAGTCTTCCTGGTACTTTTGATTCCAAGAAGGGTCAGTGAAATCTAAGTCTAGTTTTCCTGATATAGCTGTCACACGCAATGCTGCAAATTCTTTTCTGCACTTTTGCCTGCTTAACTGAGTGAAACCATATTGACACCGGTCCTTTGCTGGACTCAGCCAATGCTGCTGTGTGGTAGAACTTGTACTTGCTTTGAAAGCAACAGCCATCCCAGACAAGGTCATAAAAAGATTATAGTGGACCTGCTAATCCGCAGCAGGAACTCAGTAAGATAATGCTAATATCCAATAAGAACAGTCACAATTTGAATTTGGTTGGTGGATAGTAACTCAAATTGCATCACATTTGTGTAACTAAATTGCTAGAAGCAAGCCACATTCAGACATTCTATCTAATGAAGACTAAAGAAACTTGCAGATGGATCATGCAAAGCTTGACACTGGCTCATTTTTACTTCATAATCGGCTGTGTTCGGTACGTTGGCACCGTACAGTATAAAACCTGCATTACCGAATGCGTTGGTAGTTTACAAAACTGAAAACACCAGAATATAGTTAGACGAACTGCTAGCTGTCTCTGGCTGACTAAATGTAATCATGATAGCAACAAGATCTAGCTCCAGTTCAAGCTATTTTGGAAATACACCCAATACGTAAACTCATGGCGGCCGAAACAAGCCGAAATTTACACTATGCAATGAAAGGCTCATTGAAGCACATGAAATCTAAATGAACTATCCAAACAGCACATATAACAATCCAAAAATCAAATTCGAGAAGCAGGAGGTTCACGACTTGCTTGAATCGCTGGTAGCATACATTTCCGTCCTAATCAACCAACACGACCTTGAATCACGAAACTAGCAAAACCACAGCCCTGACAGCGTCGTTCAAACAGAGCACGAGCATTGCAGGTGATCCGCTAGAGAAACCAGCAAGCCGCAGTCGAGGCGTCCACAGCCCCACACCCCGCTCCTCCAATCGCAGGTACCCAAAACCAAAACCCACGGTCATCCGAAACATTTGCAACAGACACGAGCACCGATCGCGAGGAAGCCCCGCATCCACGCCGCCACGGACGCGAATAAGCATTGGCATTGCGCCCCTTAAAGCGTACACGCTTGCGGCGTCCATGCCCTGGGCGACCATAACCGCCCGAATAGATGGATCTCCGCTGACCGGGGAGCAAAAGCGGAGAGAGATCGATCCCGTGCGCCGTGCGCGGACGCGCGGCGCAGGAGACGGATGGATTGGGGAGGAGAGGGGGAGGGGGGAGGGGGGAGGCTGCGGCCTACCTGCGGCTTCGGACGGCGAGAGGAGATGGGGGATTCAACTTGGAGCGCGCTCTGCTCCGGCTTTGGAGGGTTCGGGTTCGGGGGGTGTTCTTCGTCGCGTCGTTGATCGGTTCGAGTAGTTTGACACCCTGGCGGGCGGAGAAGCAGAGGCAGTGGAGTGGGGGAGGGCGCAGGCGGCCAGGTGGGGTTCTCTTCCACGTGGCGCAGAGGGAGCGAGAACGAACTGCGTGGGCGCAGTGTACGGACTACGGACTACCAGGGCCCGATAACGCTCCGATTAAGGCCTGTTCGCTTGTTCGTAAACGCTCGTAAACTTTTAGTCTGGAACAGTGTTTTTCTCTTACACCAAATCAGTCAGCAGTAAATAATCCACGATATGATACGGCCTCCCGAACAAGCTATAAGACCCGATTAAGACGTCAGTACGGATGCCTCACTCTGCATTTTCGCATCTAATCCCTCGCTTCTTTTCACGCTCGCGCCCCATCCCATCTCGTCGTGCGGCCATGGCTATTTCCCTTGTCGGCGGTGGCACCCTCACTCACCCTGATGTGCGCCCTCCCCCACCCCGGTGTCCTCCTCCCACACCCCGGCAGCGTCCCTCCCCCGCCACGGCGTCCTCACCCACCGGGAGTGTCCAACGCCAACGGATCCGGTGGCCCTCTCCCCCACGGTGACGAGATTCATGGAGCATGAGCGAGACCTATGGAGGTGGCGTGTCGGTGTTACAGGAGAGTGGGCGGCTCTCCCCCACCCCATCGCTACGCTGCGCCATCCCCACCAACGACGCCCGAGTTCCCCCAACCTCGGCGGTGCTTAGCCAAGCTCGGTACTGGCGGCGCTGGTGCTCGCGCGCAGCTGCTCGCCACCGTCTCTGACCCCAACAACCGGAATCGACCGGCCCAGCCTTTTCCTCCCCTTTGTTGCATATGTAATTACGTATGTTTCAGACGTTTTAGATGTATGTTGTAATTATTTCATATGGATGTTGCAAAAGTAGATCAGAGGATGTTGCACATGTTGCATAAGTAGCAGACATGTTGCAAGTGTATATTTTGAGTGTTTTAGATGTTTCCGATGTATGTTTTATCTGTGTTTTCCGGACGCATGTTGCAAGTGTGTTTATATGGATGTTGCATATATTTCTCACATATGTTGCATGTATTTTATTTGTATATTGTGTATGGTTGCAATGATTTTTAAGTATTTTTTCAGGTATCTCGAAAGCATGTTTCGAATGTTTCAACTGCCTTCAGACGTATGTGTTTACACCAAAATTTATGAAGAAGAACGTGGAAACTCAAAACTTACAGGATTGTGTCATCAATGAATCGATTAGATGTGAATCGGTATCAGCTAATTTAGATGTGATGTTAGAATCGGCAATTTTATGGATGACGTCAGTAGACGACGTTAGTGGGCTATACTTAAGTGGCGCTAGGAAGATGTGTCGGACTCTACAGATAAGAAAATTTGGGGTCTAGGTTATTATTAAGTTAGGAAGTTTTCTTTTATTCCAAAAATTGTAATAAGTCGTATTTGAGTATGATTCATGTTTAGATTCCGGGTATAAATATTAGACCGTAATTATTATAAAAAAGAACAAACACTCAATCAATACAATATTTTCGGCTTTTGCCATCGCATTAGGAGTAGGAGTACTGTAGATCTCAACGAGTTCTTCATCAAACAGGGCTGCATCGACTGATCGACCTTTAGCTTACTTATGAGTACCGTCACGACTTGTATTATGCTTGTAAAACTACACCAGTTGATTGATCTTTTATGAGCCATAATATAAGTTAGTTATCGATTTGTATCGTAATATGTAAGGTTGCATCAGCTGATTGATCTCTTAGGAATCGTAATATAGATCAAAGTTATCGATCTTGTGTTAAATAACTTGTTTAATACAATATCACCAGTTATCGAATCTGCTAAGATTAGTAAGATTTTTCTAGCTATTTTTTGGTTGATCCACCAATTATCGATCTTGCTATAATTAATGTTTTATTAATTATAACAAAATCACCCGATTGAGATAGAGATGGATCAGCATCATATCATCTTAATTGATCGTCCTTTGATCTGGTCACACTTCAAATCTTATAATTGATGACTTAATTTCGCTAGATCGGCTGTTTTATCTTTATTCTAGTCAAATATAGTATGCATCCAAAGACATATTTCAATCTTGAATAAACTCACTAATTAATGAGATCTAATCTAATGACACCGTCATAGCTGCATCGATCCGGTCGAACCTCACTAGTAAGACTTTAAATTAGAAATTATCAATTAGTGGTCTTGTTCATGATCAATATATGTACTCTATTTGTTTGCTATGACTGCATCAGCTATTTTAGTCGATTTGCCTATACTCTCACGCATATAGCATGTTTTCATGAATCTATCAACATATAGATGGTTTCATAGATTATTTGGTTTTAGTTTATTATCATTATCATAGTTGTATCGATCCGATCGAACCTTACTATTGATGATAATAGATTAGACTCAAAACTGTTTGTAGAATCATTTATATTAGACAGTCGATTTGTTCGCATGTTATATTCTTTTCATCAGACTTATCGGCTCAACGCTTTATATCGATCATGTTCCATTTAGCCGATGATGCTTTCTGATGTTCCATGAGCATCGGTTATTTTGATTCGTATCATTATCATTTAATATTAGCCGATAATACTTGATTTAAATATCTTTGTTTCATGGATACGCTGGATATTGACTATTTAGTCAATAGCCTCATTGAATCAGCTATCTAGCCGTACATTTGGAACTATTTGGTGCAACACCGATATGTTCCACCTTAAATCACTGATAAGATTTTCTCTCCTTGTCAATTGCAGGTCAAATTGACTGGCACGTCATTGGGTTTTCAGAATTGGCTGGTTTTGTGTTGAAGCCAAGTAGATCTCTGGTCTCGTTCCATTCAGATCTCCTGGCTTGTAGTGTGTTGATCACATCGTCACATTTTTGTGTCAACACACTTTTTAGCATGTCCGGTAGGACCATAATCGTCATGGAGGTTCACAACAACCAGGACATTCTTATGGTACCTTATGAAGACTTACCTGCTGAGGATAAAGATGTCATTGGTAAAGCTATAAAGGAGTTCCAGAACAAGTGTTTGTTGTCATACACCAAAATACGTGACAATAAGGTTATTCAGAAATATCCACTGTCAAGAGTTTTGATGCATGAACAGTCAGATACAGACAAAGCTGATGATAGACGTTTTCTTTATAGAAGCTGTCAATAAATCTGTTCATGATGCAATGCTGAATCATAATATAGCTTTCTTGAATATATTCCATAATACCATGAAAGAGGTGTTTCATGGATTTCCACTTGATCAGGTTGGACCGGCTTATTACAATAATTCACATCCGTCGACTTAGGGGACTAATCAAGCCGGTACTAGCCATCAAGAATAAAAGGATCAAGATGCCCAAGAGCAGGTGAATTAGGCTAATTCTAAATTCTTTTGCAATAATTAAATCCTACTGTCGGGTTCATAAACCCTTGGTCCCTCATGGACAGGCTTCCCAACAAAGGCTCGGCCCAACAAACAACGTTGCGAGCAATGCGCAACTCATGGGCCGGCCTAAATACCTAGACGATAAGCTAGAAGGATGATCCAATCTCTGACCAGAAGGCCTAGCCGAGGAGGAGCGGCGCCCGCTTCCGACTCTGACCCACCTCTCCGACCGGAGCGCTCGCTTCGGTCTCCAGCCCACCTCCGGACGGCCTCTCCGACCGGAAGGCCTGGCCAAACACCACTTCCGACTCCGACCGGCTTCTCCGACCGGGAATGCACCGAACCCTTGCTTACACCTCCTCTCCAACTAGCGCAATCAGAGCCGACTAGGACCAACCGACCGGGGACACCCGCTCGGTAAGGACCAGGGAATGGATGGAGAAAGTAAGGCAGCGCACTCAAGTCAACCGTAATACCGAGGATAGTACCCTATACACCTGCAGGACAGTACCCTGTGACCTCCCCGACATGACAGAAACCAATCAGTGTTGTAGGCGTCGACATTTTCCCCTATAGTATTATGGGCGCCATCAACTCCCATGCCAGACAAATACGGTAAGGCTCCCCCACGTGCCTTTGAGGCATCGACAGTGTTGTGGGTGCCAATATTTATCGTACTAGGCGAACATGGTAAAACCCCTCACATGCCTCTGGGTATCAATAGTGTGGCAGGCACCGACATCTACCATACCTGAAGAAGACGACGCAACCTCCCACGTGCATCTAACATTAAACAGTATTGTGGGCGCCTACCATCGTCTTGTACCCACCAGTGTGGGCAGCAAGACTTAGCAGCATGCATACTCTCTCCCTCTCATTTGTAAGGCCATCCCCTTCATCTATAAAAGGGGATGCGCACTCTCCCAAAACTCAGTTGATTCAGATCGATCAAGTTCACTAGTACACAACAACAGAACCACTAGGTTCAAACCTCGAGCACACGCTCGAATAGATAGCGCATAGTGGAGCTCTCGTCACTCTCGGCCCCTCTGACCAGAGTCTGACCGGACCTCTTGTACCCCCCATCTTTCTCCTTCTCGTTTGTAACCCCACTGTAAACTTCGAGCACCTGGGCTCAGGAATAAAGTCACCGACCGACTCAAACTGGACGTAGGGCACGTTGCCTGAACTAGTATAAACCCTGTGTCATTGAGTGCTAGGCCACCTCCGATCACAACGTACGGCAAAACTATAAATTTTTACGTGTTGGTCACTTTCTGCACTGACAGTTGGCGCCGTCCGTGGGGAAGACACTGTACGTTCAAACTTTTTGGTCA